TGTGTGTGTGTGTGTGTGTGTGTGTGGCCCGCTCAGCCCAGCAGGGGGCAGGGCTGGCTGGCCTGTGGTGCTGGGGGATTGAACCGTGGTCCCTGTGCTTTGCTAAACTTGTTCTAAGTAGGTGCTTTACACCACTGAGCCATCTCACAGCCCCAGCATATCCATTTCAATTATTTAAAATGTCAGGATACTAGGCAATGACAGCTGGGTGTATGCAAGGTCACAGAAAATACACTGTGAACCAGCCCTGAGCCAGGACTATGATTGCCACCTGGACCCCCAAACTCCAAGACTAGCAAGGGACCATGGTGTTACTTTGCATTGTCAGCTATTAATGAAGAAAAAAAGTCAACTCAGATCTTTTTTCTAAAAACTTTAAAGGGTACTCAATAATGTTTACCAATGCAAATGGCTGTTTCTGGCATTTTTACCTAAGTGTTGGTCATCATTTTCCCAAGCTTCCCAGAACCAAGTTACTGTCACCCAGCAGACACAACACACTATGCAAATCCCATTTAAGAAAATGTTCACTAGGACCTATCCTGACACTGATCATCCTAAATTTGGCTCCCTAGAAAAGACTAAAAGATGAAGACATGCATGAGCAGGACTAGGGAGGACTAGGCAGAGGCAGAGACTTGCAGACACTGAAGATGGCAGCTCCAGAGTTGGAAGGGCCCTCTACAGCTGTCCTAAGTGGAAGCTAAGAGGCCAGGCTTTTGTACCCTTGCATCAACCAGTAACCAGACATGGATCCCAAAGCAGGCACATGACTTGAGTGGCAACTTCCTGTGGCAGAGGGCACTGACCTACTGTGTGGAATCACCGCTGATGTTCCTAGCAGCTGGGAAAGGGGGATCTGGGTGGAGTGACATCTGTTAAGAACTGGTGAAGAAGTATTATTGTACACCAAGGTGCTAGGTCTGTGTTAGAGCCCACAGGGTCACAGAGATCATGGTCCCAGATTTCAGGAACATCATTTAACTGTATATTTAAAGAATGTATATATTACCTGTGTCTGCATGTTGGATCAGAAGCCCTAGGAAGGCAGAGACTATGTTTTGGTCATCACTGTTTCCATTATCTGGAAGATGATGACTCATGGTTGATAGTCTTGTTGGAGACCTGAGATATGAAGAAACAGGATCTGGGTATGTTAGAGGACCATGTGCAGAGGACCATGCACCCACAGAGGGACATGGCTCTGGGGTCCTCATCTGAAGCCATGGCACCAGATACACAGATATAGCATTCTCCAACCAAGGAAGACTGCACAAAAGAAGTACACATTCAATGTGTGGTGTGATAGATGGATAACTGGTGGTCAACTTGTAACACTCAGATGAACTGAACCAGCCTGGTGCTGGGTGTGGGGGTCCCATCTGAGGAGTGTTGCTAGTGGCACAAGGGGCAGAACTGGAGAGGAAGAACTTGAGGAGCTGTTGGTTCTCTTCAAGGATCTTGTCATGCTGGCTTTTCTGATATGAACGAGGCTGTTCTTATAGTCAAGAGCGCTTGGGACCTTGTTACTGAGAATGGTTGCGGTTCACTTTGGGGGAGCACTGGTCCTTACTTTTGAGCATTGCTTCCTGACTCGGCTGTTCTCACTGCTGGAGGGGCTTGGGACTTCACTGTTGCTGAAGATGGCTGTGGTACATATTGGGAGGGCTCTGGTCTTTACTTTGAATGTTGCTTCCTGGTTCCAGTGCTGGCACAGATCCTTCATTCGGCTGGCACAGATTTTCTAGCTTCCACCACTGTCATTTGGGCCTTCCCAGCACAGATCCATGAAACAAGCCTGCACAAGACATTGTTGTGGGCTCTAGGCCTTCAGCTGGACTCGTGGGGGACCCTGTTGTGGGCTCTAAGTCTTCATGCAGGACATTACTGTGGGATCTGGGCACTCAGCTGGATTATATTATTATTATTATTATTATTATTATTATTATTTGTCTTAACTGTCTCATCACATTTCCTACACTCTCTGCATTCTGTATATAACTCTTTGGGTGACTACTATAAATAATCCTATTAAATATGTGTCCTATATTGTTTCACTGCAAGCCCTAACCAAACCACAACCTGTGGCTTTCATTCCAACAGTCTATAGACTTCAGCCCAGTCTCTCTGGATGCCTGTTGAGTTCTTCAGTTATCCAAATCATCTGGGGAAAAGCTTCATGTTCTAGATAAAAGGCATCATGGAATACCAGGTGGGGAGTCAGAAGACATGGATTTGGGCCAGGCATGAGATGGTGATCACTTGTAATCTCAGCACTCTGAAAGCTGAAGCAGGACTGCCCTGTGTTCAAGATCAGCAGCCTAGGCCTCATAGTGAGTTTAAGGCTGGCCTGAACTACACAGCAGGATCCTATCTCAAAAAGAAAAAAGGGCCGGCCTGATAACTTAGTGGACTAAGGCAGAGCCCAGTGTCCGGGGTTGGATCCTTAGCGTGGCACGGTGTGGCGGCCCCGCCCCTGGGGCATGCTGAGACAGCAGCTGAGACTGGGTGTGGTGGTGTGCACCTATAATCCCAGTGCTTGGAAGGCTGACAACAGGAGAATCACTATGAGTCTGATCTATGTAGTGAGACCCTGTAGACCCTGTCCTAAATACAGAAGGAAAATAAAACCACATGGATTTAAATCCACTCATTCACTGTGTGATCTTAGGCAATTCTAGGGCTCAGTCTGCCCAGCTGTAAATGGAAGCAGTAGTGCTACTTTGCACAGTTGTCTTCAGGACCAAGGTAACTAATGTACATGACGCAGGGTACTTCTAGTCCTGTGCAGAGTGGGGATGAAGGACAGAAGGAACACGGACAAACTCCAGGCTCTGCCTGAGCACATAGCCTTCCCACAGACAGGTGCCCCACATTCTGGCCTTCACACGTGAACAGTAAGCTAAGCTCTGCCCCTCACATGTGCACAGCTATTAGCTGCTACTCAGGAGCTAAGATAATTGGTTTTAAAGTCTCTTCCTTATCTTGCACTTAGTAGCCAGTGACTGTGTGCCTAGGCAGATAGCAGCAGCAGTGAATAGCAACAGGGTGTCCCCACCATGGCTTACACCGAGACCCTGGCTGGAATCAGGAACCACCTCCGGATCCGCAACCTCCTGGTCCGACAGTGCCTGGCAGAATTTCTGGGTGTATTTGTGCTCCTGGTAGGCAAGTTGATGGGGTGGGGTGGGGTGGGGGGAAATGGGCCAAAATTTCTGGCTTTTCCTAGTATACTATTTTCTGTTTCCTGGCATCCTACTCTCTTTCAACTCTCAAGGTTTTCTTTTTCCTTCTCCCTTATTTCTCCTTATCTCTCTCCTATTTTTTGATTCCTGCCCATCTTTTCACATTCTCCCTTCTTTCTTCTTCCCTTTTCCCCCTTCTTCTTTTTCTTTTTTTGGCGGTACCAGAGATTGAACTCAGGACCTTGCATTTGCCAGGCAGGCACTTATGCTGCTGAGCTTTATCCCTGGCCCTTTCCTTTTTCCCCCTTCTTGCTCTTTCCTTGTTCTGCCTTTCTCCTTTCCTATTGGCCTCTCAGGTCTATTCACCTCTCCAGCTCTTTCTGTACCTTCTCTCTCTTGCTGGTTTCCTGGGCTCCCTGTTCCTCATCTCCTCTCCCCACCAGCTCCTCACCCAGGGGGCTGTGGCCCAGGCTGTCACCAGTGGAGAAACCAAAGGGAACTTCCTCACCATGTTTCTGGCTGGCTCTTTCTCTGTGACGATAGCCATCTACGTGGCCGGCAATATCTCAGGTGATGAGCATCATGTCTGGGTATAAGAGAGGGTAGGATATGCAGGGGAATGTGGGGATTTGGTGATGGCAAGAAGGCAGCACCATTGGTGACTCATGGACCTTATCTCCTTGAGCTTGACCAGTGCCCTGGACTGAGATATGCCTTTGGTGTCACCTACCCCTTGCCCTTCCTGTATTTCTCCATTCCCCCTCATCACACCCTTGGGTCACGTAGGCAAAAATCTATGACAGGGTACTGAGGTTAAGTACAGGCCTCCTGTGCCTGAAACCTGAAGCTCAGGGCTCATCTCTGCTCTGGGCCCACCTGCTTGGCCCTCAACAGACTGCATCAGCATGTTTGGCTGGAGACTCAAGACAGTGTACTGTGACAGAAAGAGCCACCAGACCTAGGTTCAAATCTGGGCTTTGCTGTACCACTTGTACTCTTGGGGCCCAAATTCCTTCACTAGTGTCATAGAAACCACACTGTGTTAAAAAGTTGTAGGAAGGGGCTGGAGAGATGGCTCAGTGGTCTAAAGCACCTACTTGGAACAAGCTTGGCAAAGCACAGGGACCACGGTTCGATCCCCCAGCACCACATGCCAGCCAGCTGCGTCCCCTGGTGGGCTGAGCTGGCCACACACACACACACACACACACACTAAATTTAAAAAAAAAAATTAAAAAGTTGTAGGAAGGAGCAATAGGGTCACTTGGTGACAGTGTCTGACAGTGACACTAAATGGATGCTGGTTTTCTTTCCTTGATCCCTGAAGGAGCCCACCTGAACCCAGCTTTCTCACTGGCCATGTGCCTCGTGGGACGCTTTCCCTGGACCATGTTCCCCATTTACTGCTTGGTGCAGCTGCTGGCTGCTTTCTGTGCCTCAGGAGCCACCTACATTCTTTACTACGGTAACAGGGGACAGAGGTGGGGCACTGTGTATGGGGAAATGGTTCTGGATGAACAAACTGAGAAACCCTGGATGTCCCTCTCTCAAAGATGCTTTACAGAACTACACAGGCGGGAACCTGACAGTGACTGGCCCCAAGGAGACAGCCTCCATCTTTACTACCTATCCTGCCCCCTATCTTTCCTTGAACAATGGCTTTCTGGATCAGGTAGGAGAAGGAGACCTGAGAAGTCCCAAGTTTTGCTGTGTCCTTTGGGACTGGAGTCCCAATGCAGTGGATTAGGGTGGGGGGAGGGGGCCCCAGCAGGTATTCCACCTTGCTCTCCTGATCGCTTAACTGCCAATGTTGGACAAAGCCAGATGAAAGGAGTGTGAAGCGGCTGAATGAGGGAGGCAGATGGTACCTTCAGCAATTGATGGGACTCCCTCTGCCTCTATCAAACCCAGGTCATTGGCACTGCAATGCTGATTGTGGGGCTCTTAGCCATCCTGGACAGACGCAACAAGGGTGTTCCTGCTGGTCTGGAGCCCGTGGTGGTGGGGCTGCTGATAATGGTCATTGGATTCTCCATGGGTGTCAACTGTGGGTTTCCACTCAACCCTGCCCGGGACCTGGGACCACGACTCTTCACCTACATGGCTGGCTGGGGCCCTGAAGTCTTTAGGTGGGAGACAATTTTTTCTGGTGTGGACCACCTTTCACATCCCTCTGCCAGTGGCTCTTTCCCTGGATCCCCAGTGCTCTCCTGATACAGTTCTCTAGGTGTCTTAGATAGTATTCCTTTGCCAAGCCCCATGTTCTCCTTTTCTTTCATCTCCCCTCCCAGTTGTCACAGACATAGTAAGATTTAGAGATGTACTCTTGGGTGTATATTACTACTTCTTTGGGTATTAGCAACCTCATCAGCAAAATGCTATACTTAAATAATTCCCTAAGGCTAGCTGCTGGGCTGATCATTCCTGCACATTCCTGGAGTCCTTCCCTAAATGCCACACACTGGGGTGAAGATACCCTCTTCTGAGTACCAATCACTACACTCCAGAATCTACCTCAGGGACCTTCCTTGTTGCTGCCCCCAGACTGTGGAGAGAGGAAAGTTAAGGTCCCCCTCATCCCACCCCGTCCTTCTCTTGCAGTGCCGGGAATGGCTGGTGGTGGGTGCCAGTGGTGGCCCCTCTGGTGGGGGCCACCCTTGGCTCTGCCATCTACCAAGGGTTTGTGGCTCTGCACCACCCTGAGGATCCTGGGCTGGTTCACGATCTGGACTCCATTCAGCACAACGCTACAGACTTGGCAAAACATGTCTCACCTCCGATACTGGAGAGCAAGCTATGATTGTAGTACCATCCACCTCATGCATGGATTCGAGAGCCACGACCTGCCTGCTTGCAAGACAGATATTCTTAACCCGTATGCAGACCTTGTTTACCCCGCAGGCACCCCTTCCTCCTAAACCGGGAAGGATGCCTGGACGGGGAAACAGCAAGAGGAGGACGTGGGGCTCAGGTCCCGCTCCCTTTTCCCCTCAGGACGCCTTTTCTCAACTTCAGGGTTTCTAAGAAAGTAGTTGCTTACAGTGGCCGCAAGGGGGTGCACGCCCAGAATTCCAGCTCCAGAAGGCTGAAAGCATCGCAGGGAGCGGGTGCAGACCTTCCACAGGGTGGGGAACATGCCCCAGGGAACCCCAAAACTCAGACCCACTGCCCGGCTCCAGTTCCCTGCGCCAGCTGCAGCAGCGCCTCGCGCCTTACCCTCCAGGGGCGCCACCCCAAGACTCTGCAGCCCCCGCGACCGTCGAGGCGGGGAAGATGGTTCCCCGTAGGACGCGGCGGGAAGGCGTGGGCCCGGAGATCTGGAGAGCCAGGCGGAGTAGCTGAGGCACAGCTCAATACAGTACCTAGCCAGTCCCTGGCGATGTTGTCCCAGCAGAGGGCACAATGGCACAAGAGAGGGGACTCGGAGAGAAGGCGAAGGCCCCGGGGGCTGACAGCTTCGAGGGGGCCGAAAAGGACGCGAAGGCAAGTTCTCGAAGCTGCACTTCACTTCTCCGCCCTCCAGTAGATGATGCTGTTTTGGCAGAGAGGGCAGCAGCGTTCTCCCGTCTTCTTTCTTCCAAATTAAAATAAAACCTGGGCTACCTTGTCTCGTGGTTGTTTCCAGGCACGCGCTGAAGCAAAGGCTGGAACTGCGCAGCCAAGAGCCCCCCCTGCCCGGCACAAAGATGGCGGCGCGCGCCTCCCGCCCGTACTCCCCTCCTCCTCCTCCTTCTCCTCCTCCCCAAAACCCCCTCCCGCCCCCCGCCCCCCGCCCTACACCGCCGCCGCCGTCACTTCCGCCCCGCCGCGGCAAAACTGACACAAAGTAGCGGGCCGAGGCCCGGGGGAGAGCGGGGCCATAGCTAGGGGGCGGGAGCCCGCGGGGAGCGGAGAGAGCGCCCCCCGCCCCAGCCCCCGGCATGGGCCGGACAGGGCGGCC